ACCGTTGAATTAAGTGCATTGAAAAGGAAAAAAATAATGTTGAAGAACACATAAGTCTTATATAAAAGAAAATGCCTTCTTTAACACCAGGGTATGGATTTTTCAATATATTTTTTCATTTTATATATATATATATATATATATATATATATATATATATATATATATATATATATATACTTAAATCAACCGTAACATATGGGGTAATTTTTTTTAAAATTATGTTCTTGGCATTCAGGTAATTTTTTTTTTTTTTATCTTACTTAATATATATATTTTTTACTGTTATGTGTAATTCCTCGGAAAAATTCAATATGTCTGCTGTCGGGTTGCTTCTCGCACTGTCTTCAAAAAATAGTCAAAATCTGACATGTGATCTCAGGAGGTCTTGCCTATGGAGATTCATTTTATTTGATGCCTCTGAGTCAAGCTCTCGACTTTTTGGATGGACAAAAGAAATAATAAAACAAAATATATACGAACTGAAAGCAGAGTTTCCATCATTTCAATGAATAATATTCAACTCAAACATTCTATGACGGAGAGATGAACGAACATTTGTCATTTACTGCATTTTTGTGCTGGTACAAATATCCAGCTGATCTAGTTATTTCAAAAATTCTCTCTATTGCAAAGAATTGTACCTAAAATTATGATGAGAAAACTCACACAGTTCACAAGCACTGTATTTAAAATTATATATATAAACAAAGAGAAAATGTACTTTTAGCATGTTGGCAAAGGAAGAGACAATCTCCTATTAATCGGTCTTCAAATACGATATATAAAACACACAAGTGCCCTTATGAGTAATGAGGGTTAGAAGACGAACCTTAAAAGTAAGCATCCTCGGTAAGACGATGAACTACATCCGCGTCTTGAGTAAGACGATAAACTACATCCGCGTCCTGGGTAAGACAATAAACTCTATCCGCGTCCTGGGTAAGACGATAAACCACATCCAACAGAAAGGCCTCTGATCACAACATTAAGAGTATAAAAGAACTATTTACAAAAATTGATCCAAGGCATATAATAAACTTCCTGAAAAGAATTGGTCTTTTATTAAGGATGTGGTCTGATGTGTAATTAATATATGCTACCTTTTAACATTGTGCAAACATATTGTCTATACTAAACGGAAATCCTTGTCCTAGACAGTAATAACTGGAATTATTTTGCAGTGTGCAAGCAAATAATCTCTAGCTTATATAGCTTTATAGACGTTTAAAAGTCCTATATATATATATATATATATAAACTAAATTTGGCATTAAATGACCTACGGTGATATGCCATAAAACACAACAAACAAACCAACCTTAAAAGTAAATATCAAACAGGAAATTTTAATATTACAATTCGAATAGATCATGAAAGATAAATAAAAAGATTCCACATTAATTAGCAAAAGAAACCGTTCAGGCATCCATCTTGTAGTTCAAGAGATTCATCAAGCTGTGAATATTATTGGCAGAAGGAAAAATAAAGAAGTAGATGTTAGAAGTGAAGAATATTGTCTCGGGTATCAAGATAAAAGAGGCTTGAGTGTTTTGAATAGGACATCGTGTCATAGTTTGATAAGGTTGTAAATTCGATTCGCTGTTTTACATAATTAATCACATGCACAAACGTTTAAGAATAGAATAGAAAATATTCAAATTGAACGAAATGGTTTCCTTTATTTTATCAAAATAGCTGGGCTGCTGGTTTGGTAGCTTTTTTCACTCGTGAAATATTGGACATAGTTAACGAATTATCGATAATGGTTAAAGTGAGGAATTTTCTCCTTCAGCTATTTCAATTACAATGTTTTCTTCTTAACGAACGCGTGATATTAAACCTGCGAGGAATGAGAGTGCCGAAAAGAACTGTGAGATCCTCTTACACTCACGTTTTCCTCTTCTGACATGAAATCCTAATTTAAGGCTTTTGAAGAAACAGCTCTTTTCCTGTCAGTATGAGTTTATTTATTTGTCCCTGTTTTCCGCTGCTTCTTTTTCCCTCTCTTTAGCTTTTGTATTTCTCTGTTTATTTGTATACTTTCCGTATTGAAAAAAAAATATCCCCGTGTTTACTATTGACATTTTTTTTACAGCCCCCAATAAAAGTAGCCAGTTCAGACTATATGCGAGTGAGAAGATAGACAGTTTGAATTGCAGCAAAAGGCAGAAATAAGCCAATAGCATGACGATGCAACCGATTCAATCCACTTCAAGCGAATATCAACCGTTGACAAATGCTTTTCAGAGTGATTCCAATGATTTAATTAGATAATAGAAATATAGAGAAAATAAAGTTTGGAAAATGAGACAATATAAAAAAGCTAACAATAAAAGCATTGAAGAATATAGAATAACTATAACCGTCTATATTTCTGAGATGAGGTATTGTAACTATCTATAGAATTTCTATTGCTCGGACTGTCGTCATTTTTGTTATCATATTCACGACGTTTCAGCTAATAACACAGAGCCCAGTGGATAAAAGCGTTATTTGAAGTAATCCAGCGTCTTGACTCAAAGACTTGTGAGTCTATAGCAGAAGTAAAACTTGGAGAGTTAAGTTACTATAGGTAAAAAAAAACTGAAACGGAAACTGATATATCTGGAAGAGGTATGGCATGTGGAACTTAAACAATCTAACCCGTTGGATGAAATTTCGGTTCGAAATTCCAATCGATTGAAGGAGGACGGCGCGTAGAACGGCCGAAACACTACGAATATGACAACGAAGATGAGGGCAATACTACGAACAATGTAAATAGTATAAACAGAATAAATACTGTTTGATTGCGTCCTGTGTCGCTATGTCGATGCTAAAACGAAGAATATATTCTGGTAACGGTTCCAGATTCTACACACATGTAACGTAATAGCACTCATGAAACTACAAATGATATCATTTTCGGCCATTTTGAAACGGGAAGTTTCTGCCGGAAAAAATGACTGAAAGTCCTTTCATCCAACGATCTTCACTGTTTAGAAAAGACACGGGAGAAAGAGAAGTACTTGACCTTAAAAAGGAAAACACAAATCAGTCGAATGTTGGAAGCTACTTTCGATCGGTATAAATCACATCGTAAGACGATTCTTTCAAGAGTGCAAATCTAATTTAAGAGAGTAAACACGGGAATATTTTTTTTAAATACGGAAAAATATACAAATAAACAGAGAAGGAGGAAAGCTAAAGAGAGGGAAAAGGAATCAGGAGAAAACAGAAACAAATAAATAAACTCATACTCACAGGAAAAAGATCTGTTTCTTCAAAAGCCTTAAATTAAGATTGCATATATATTTCCTATATCTCTAGGGACTCTTAAATCTTTCTCTCTTTTTTCTATATATCTTTATCTTTTTCCCTTTCCCCCCATACATATCTATCTATCTATCTATCTATCTATCTATCTATCTATCTATCTATCACAGTATATTACTATCTATCTATCTATCTATCTATCTATCTATCTATCTCCTATTCATATCTTTCTATCTGTATCTGTCTATTTTTCTGAGAGAGGCATTGTGTACATTATTTACATTGGACTATTGTCTTTATATTTGCTGCCATATTCATTACAAATTTTCGACCGTTGTACGTTCCGGCCTTCTTCGGGTGGTCGGAATGTCCAACCACCTGAGAAAGACCGCAGCGCACAACAACCGAAACGTTGTAATAAATATGGCGACAAAGATGAGGACAATAGTCCGAATAATGCAAATAGTGTATCTATCTATCTATCTATCTATCTATCTATCTATCTATCTATATATATATATATATATATATATATATATATATATATATAACACAATCACTTAGTTAAGTTCTCAGATCCTCATACGTCGGAACCGACTGGAGAGTGCATTATATATATATATATATATATATATATATATATATATATATATGTTAAGAAATGGACAAGGTCCGACAATTTATTTTATTAAAGACACTTTTATGTTTAAAATAATCTATAAATAACAACGTTAAACATAAAAGTGCCTTTAATAAAATATATATATATATATATATATATACACACATTGTTGGAATATATATATATATATATATATATATATATATATATATATATATATATGTGTGTGTGTGTGTGTTTGTGTGTGTGTGTGTGTGTGTGTGTGTGTACAATTAGAAGAAAGGATCCGTGTGCACGTCTTATAGTATGTAAAATAGATAGGATGGTTAATAAAACAAGTGCAAACGAAAAGTTACCAATTTATTAAATATTTGTTATTATATATATATCTCAGTCTATTCATATCTGACATTCTATCTACAGATACAACCAATTATATATATATATATATATATATATATATATATATATATATATATATATGTGTGTGTGTGTGTGTGTGTGTGTGTGTGTGTGTGTATGTCTGCGTGTACGCGCGCGTGTGTGTGTAAAGTGAGAGAGAAGGATTTTTCGCATATTATTCTTTCAGAATGTTTGAATAGTAGGCCGATAAGAGAAATTCAAAATCACAGGTCATCTTGACCGTATCGACTGTGTTCAACAGTTCATCAGGCCAGATTTTTTTCCTCTCTCACATAAACTGTATCCATTGTCCACTCACAATTATTGTTGTATATATGCTTGGTTTCGTGGGGTTTGAGCGGAATCCTTTGCAACATGTATTAGTGAGGCACCCTTATAGCTAGTTGTACTCGAATATCAACTGTCATATATTTAAAAAAAAAAAAAAAGAAAAAAAGCGAAAATTAAAAAAATAAGGAGAATTGGAAAGAAGTCATGGATTTTAGAAATTACTTTCTAAGAATGAGAATATCAAAAAGGAAATTTTTAATGATTTTTTTCTTTATTTTTATCAGCTATGATGTTCTGTCTTTCTCTCTCTTTCTCTCTTTTCCCATTTCTCTCTCTCCCTATCCCTCTGTGATTTTCTATATTCATAAAAAGTTATTTTAAAAGGCTTCTCGTATAAAGCAGCAATAAACAATCAATGAATATTGATTCACCTTTGGTGTGAATTGTCAAAACGTCTGAGACCCAGTTTAATTATATTTATGAACCCTGGTTTGTGTTCTTGGTTTATAGAATTTTCGGATTCAATACTCACATGTTTATCTAATAATAAACTGTTGTGATATGAGTGATAGCGGTGCGAATGGCAGACTGAAAAGTTGTCTTCGCTAAAGGGAGGTAATTCGGGAGAAATGACATTTGAATTTATGGAATACGTTTTAAATCGTCGTAAAAAAAGGCAAAAATATGAACGGAAAGGCGGAGCACAGAGAATAATAAGGAGAAGAGCGGAGTAAAAAGTAGTGCAATGGATGAAATTTATAAGTGATAGCGGAGGGCGAAACGGATAAATGGCAAAAGAAGTAGAATAGATTCTAAATAAAATAACGAACGCAGACGATGCGACAACGAGATGAAAAATATAGAAAGATATAAGAACATAAGGGTGAAAATAAATAAAGTTATTCAAAGATAAAGAAAAGACGGAACGATGAATAAACAATCGAGGAATAAGAAAGATAAGAGAAAAAGGTAAAATAAGAACATACAAATCAAAGGAAGAAAGGATATAACTAAGATTAAAGATAAAGAAAGGGAGGAAGAGGGAAAGAAAGAAAGCATACAAATAAATCCGAAAAAAAGAAAGTGAACAGTTAGTAGTAAAGGAAAAGAAAGAAAGCATTGAGATAAGTTTAAAGAAAAAAAAAGAGAGAAAGAAGGAAAGAAAGTTAGCAGTAAATATTAAAGAAGAAAAAAACGCCTGCAACTAAAATTAAACAAAAGGAAGAAAGAAAGGATAAAAGAAGAAAAGAAAAATAATAATTAAAGAAAGAAAGTCAAGAGTTAATATTAAAGTAAAAAGCATGCAGCTAAAAATAAACAAAAGAAAGAAGAAAAAAAAGAAAGAAAGAAAGGTAGAGATACCTGAGATGAGGAAAAATAAAGAAAGAAAGAGACAAATTAAGTAAAGAGGAAGGGGAGGAGACAAGAGAAAAGAAACAAAAGAAAGAAATTAAAACGAAAAAATTAGGAAAAATACCGAAGACGAAGAAATAATCTAACCAAACAAAGATCAAAGAAGATAAAAAAATTAGAGAATAAAGAATTTAAGAAAATGAGAAGGAAAGAATGAACCACAAAATAAATTTGAAGACAAAAATGGAAGAAATATCGTTCGAAAATTCTAAAAAGCAAAACAATTCCGAAAGAAAAAAAATAGTTTTTTTTAATCTCCAGACGACAAAGCAGAAAAAGAAAATTAGAATAATAAAAATACAAAACAATGAATAAATAAAAATTCAAGAGAAGTTAATCAGTCGGTCAATTAGATCTGAAATATTACCAACAGTTGCTTGAGATCAATGTGAAACTTTTGACTCGGGGCTTTCAAACAAAGAAAACAGTACAAGAAATATCGAAAGAGAAAGAGGCAGTGATTGATTAGGTACGTCAACCTTATGTCTACTGAAAAATGCTTGAAATATATATTCTTTATAAGAATGAACTGTTACACTTGCACAGACTTACATATGCATTGCGATTTTTCATCACACGTATTGGAACTGGAACATAAACAGTAGTCATATTTCAAACATTCAGACAGTCTAAAACACTTTTTCAAAACTCAGTAAAATCATTTTCAGGAAAACTGACACTTAAACAAAGAGACTGATCGAAAGATAGGTAAAGTTGGGTCAGACATAGGGAAAAACTAGAAGATATACAATTCACATCTAAATTGAAAACTGATGTTTTTTACATATGCCTTTCTTTCCCTCACACTCTCTTTCCTTTCCATTTTGACATATATGAGATATGTTCAAAATGCATTGGGATTTATTTTTTCCCGCCCCAAATTATCCTTTGTGAGTTAGGTGCCGATACTCTTCCCAAACATACGTGAAATTTTTCACGACGATAGGCTGGGTCATTTTGTAGCTGTTACACCTACAATATAGGCGTGTAGTTCGTGTTCGTCGGATTTTCCTTTTTATACAAGATGATTGAACACATCGATCGTAGATATTGCATTGATATTTGCCGAAATCTTGGGTATACTCAAGTTCAAACATTCCAAATGTTTCAGCGGTCCTATCGCGACGATGCCATGGGGAAACCTCAAATGAAGGAGTGGTACAATGGCACCAAACATGGTCGCACCTCAGTGGAAACCGAGGCAAGCTCAGGCCAGCCGATGTGGTAATAAGCACAGAATTAATGCATTCCACATTTTAACACGGAGAATTTCTGCATCGGCGAAATGCGTCCCCAAGATGCTGGAAGAGCAGTCGAAGCACCTCCGTATGGAAATCGTGTGGTTTTCAGATTGCCTAAGAACTAGAAGTCATATGGTGTCATGTCGGAAAAGTAGGGAATCTAACATAAAAAATGGTTAGTTTTTGTTGACCAAGAAAGCTTGGTGTAATATCGCTGCTCAGTGCGTTCAGCCAGATTCTGTGAAAACAAAAATCCAAAGAGCGCGGACTACACGTGTGTACATTAGGCGTAACAGCCAGCAAGTGAAAAAGATAATAATAAGTGACAGCCAGGAAGTAACAAGATGATAATTTATTATTTATTATTATTTATTAAAAACAGAGTGTTACTTATTTTAAACTTCCGAAACGAATTAATGATTTTTTTTTTAATTTTCACTAATAAATCATTTTTATCAAAAGTTAACAACCATCGCCTGAGGAGTACTTCCTCAGGCGATGGTTGTTAACTTTTGATAAAAATGATTAGTATTGAAATTATAGTATTGAAACATGAAAGATTTTGTGTAGCGATGTAAAATATTTTTATTATAATCACTTACAATAAAAATATTATAATAATTTTCATGCAGTATAACAATCATGTGTTTTGTTGCTATATTTAAAAGACCTAACCGAATTTATTCTCGGGGGATATAACTATAAGAACTTAGAAAACATCACTTCATTGATAACAAATTTAGAGGGTCAAATTGGCAACTGATTTAAAAAAAAAATACCTACATTGTATTGTTAACTGCGGCAAATAATGGCTTGTTAATTTTATCGCCTCCAAAACGAAACTGCCTTTTATTAATTTTGGGGGGTAAACATTTTCTGGCTTCGATCAGCGTGGCTAATTCTATCGTCCAGGAGAGCGACATATTGTCTTTTTCTCGGGATAACGTTTTCCGTTGACATGAAGTGGAAAGTTTATATTGAATCAATTCATTTGCATGTAAGAAATTTGGGTCTCTGTGTCATACAAGACAACTTTCGCATAAATTTGTTTTACATATTTACAAGTCTACCATTCATCCGTACTTAGAATATTGCAGTTTCATATGGTCTGGTGCTCCTGCTATATATTTATAGATCCTTGATAAAATCGAAAGAAAAATCGGTAATGTCATTAGTCTTGACCTCAATATCTGTCTATATTTCTAAGATGAGGTATTATGATTACTTATTTTATTTACATTATTTGGGATGTTATCCTCATCTTTGTTGCCATATTAACAACGTTTTGGCCGTTCTACGCTCCGGCCTTCTTCAGGTGATTGGATCTCTGAAATGAGGTACTATGATTATTTGCATTATTCGGACTGTTATCCACATCTTTATTGCCATATTCACAACGTCTCGGCTGTTTTATGCTCCGGCCTTCTTCAGGTGGTTAGATCTCTGAGTTGAGGTTTAATGATTACTTAAATAATTTACATTATTCGGACTGTTATCCTCATCTTCATTGCCATATTCACAACGCTTCGGCCGTTGTATGCTCCAGCCTTCTTCAAGTGATTGGATCACTGAAATGAGGTATTATGATTGCATGAATTATTTACATTATTCCGACTGTTATACTCATTTTCATTGCCATATTCACAACTTTTCGGCCTCTATATCTCTGAGATGAGGTATTATGATTACTTATTTTATTTACATTACTCGGGATGTCATCCTCATCTTCATTGCCTTATTCACAACGTTTCGGCCGTTCTACGCTCCGGCCTTTTTCAGATGATTGGATCTCTGAAATGCGGTACTATGATTATTTGCATTATTTGAACTGTTATCCTCATCTTTATTGCCATATTCACAACGTCTCTGTCGTTGTACGCACCGGCCTTTTTCAGGTGACTGGATCTCTGGGATGAGGTATTATTATTACTTGCATTATTTACATTATTCGGACTGTTATCGTCATTTTCATTTCCATATTCACAACGCTTCGGCCGTTGTACACTTCGGCCTTCTTCAGGTGATTGGATCTCTGAAATGAGGTATTATGATTACTTGAATTATTTACATTATTCGGACTGCTATCCTCATCTTCATTGCCATATTCACAACGTCTCGGCCGTTGTACGCTTCAGGTGATTGGAACTTTTCTTTAATATCTGTCTATATCTCTGAGATGAGGCATTACGATTACTTATTTTATTTACATTATTCGAGATGTCATCCACATCTTCATTGCAATATTCGCAAAATTTCGGCCGTTGTACGCTCCGGCCGTCTTCAGGTGCTTGAAATTTTGAACCGAAACGTTTATTTCGTCCACCGGGGTAGATAGTTCGAGTTCCACGTGCTATGTCTCTTCCGGGTGTCTCCGTTATTTTCTTTTTAAGTCAACTCTCCAATTTTTTGTTCACCACTGCTCTGGCTTGGTACTGAACTCACAACCGAATAATGTAAATAAAAAAAGCAGTCTTGAACTCGATCTCTGTTTCAATCACTTTCCCACCGACGTAATGAATCTTCTTTGTATCTTTTCTAAAAAATACCATCATGGTAAATATCTTGATATACTCTTCTCTTTGCCATCTAGAATCTATGAAATTAAGCTCAGTACTAGATTGGTGGAAAGGTCCCATCATTTTTCGAATTTAAACTACTAGGTGTAACCGTAATTTTTACATGACAGTTTATTTTCTGGTACGTTTTGCTTGTGGAACTCACTTCCAGCTTACTGCTTTCCAGCCTTCTAAAGTTAAATGCAATGTCAATGGTTATCTTATGTCGTCTTAATGTCTGTACTTTTAAAGTTTTCGACACATAATAATGGTTTCCTTATACTATTACACTCAGTTATTCCTTGCTTCTTAGTGGCTTTATTACCTTGCTATGGGTGAAAGTATTAAAGAAAAATATAAAACAGAATGATATATAAGAAAAGAAAATCATGAAATGAAATAGAGAATCCGAATTAATAAATTCAAAAAAACTATTGTCAGTAAAATGTTCAACCCAAATTGTGATTCATATTTCATGGACATCGAAATCAATCAGATGCTGAAACTTAACTGTGCAATTGATGGAAAATCTGTGATGCAGAAATCCGTAAGCATTGGAGGAATTTGCGAGTTTTAATTTTACGAGAGATGCTAGCCAATCCCTAGTGAAGACGCTTGCTCTGGCACATTTGTGTTTATTCAACACTCACAGAGCCCACCTGTGGTTTATACTGCAACTATGCTGAGCAGACCTTAGTTACACTTTTCTTAGTTACACTTTAGTTACACTGAGCAGACCTTAGTTACATTTACACGTGTTATCTTGCATTCGATCAACAATTTGAACAAGGTCAGCCGGCTCAAGACCTCACGATGACGTTCAATGGAAACAAGAGAAATGGTTTGAAAAAAGTAAACAAAAAACTTTCACAAAGAAATTTTTTTACTTATATTTATTAATTTATTAATAAATATGTCGACAAACATTAGGACAAAAGTCCAAATAATGTAAATAGTGTAATTCTGTCTTTAACTGTCGATATTTGTATATAACGTCCCTATAGCTGTATATGTTTGAAATATTATGAACGATACAGACTTATTTATATTATAAATGTTACAGACTTATTTATACTATGAACGTTACAGACTTATTTATATTAAGAACGTTCCAGACGTTTTTATATTATGAATGTTACAGACATATTTTATATTAAGAACGTTATAAACTATATTTATATTATAAACATTACAGATTTATTTATATTATGAACGTTATAGACATATGTATACTATGAACCTTACAAACTTATTTATATTGTAATCGTTACAGACTTATTTATATTATGAATGTTACAAACTTATTTATATTATAAATGTTACTGACATAATTATATTATGAAGGTTACAGACTTATATTATGAAGGTTACAGACTTATTTATATTATGAACATTACAAACTTATCTATATTATAAACGTTACAGACTTATTTATAATATGAACGTTACAAACTAATTTATATTATAAACGTCATTGACGTATTTATATTATAAACGTTACAGACTTATATTATGTACGTTACAGACTTATTTATATTATGAACATTACAAACTTATTTATATTATAAACGTTACAGACTTATTCATATTATAAACGTCACAGACTTATATGATGAACGTTACAGACTTATTTATATTATGAACGTTACAGACTTATTTATACTATTAACGTTACAAAGTTATTATATAATGAAGGGTATAGACATAACTAGCAGTAGTGCCCGGCGTGGCCCGGGAAAATAACAGTAAGAGATAGATCAAGTATCCACCATCATAAAGACTGAAAAATAAAATCGACAAAGATTATTGTTTA